TTACACTAGTCAGAATTGTAGCTCACAGGGCTCACAGCCGGCGAACCAGTTAATGGCTCCACCACCCCTCAGCCGCTTGTCTAGCTAGCCAGTGGTTAGGAAGCCTCTCAGTCAGTAACAAATTGACTTCTCCATGTCTGATGTCTGCAGCAGTAGGATCTTACTATCAAGTTCTGGAAGGCTACCAAGAGCAGTGATGATACTCTGTATCGTTTACGGGGTTCCTGGGTTTTCTTTTTATTTCTTTAAACAATATTTTTTTAAATTTATTATCTGTGTCAAGATGAATAAACTTACTCTGTTTTCTCTTTTCTCTCTATATTTCATTTTTGTGAGGGTCCATATGCACTTGGGTGTGTGCAGCTGGAATCCAAAGGTGAACCCCAGGTGTCTTCCACCTTGGTATTTTTTGAGATGGGGTCTCTCATGGATTTGGGGCTTTCCTGATAGGCCAGACTGAGCTAGGCAGTGAGCCCCAGGGACCTACTTGTGTCTACCCCCCTATCCTCCCAATGCTGGGATTACAAATGTGCTAACTCACTTGGTTTTTTACATTGGGACCCCGGAGGTCAAACTCAGGTCCTTATGCTTGTTGAAGTACTTTACCAAGTGAGCCCTCTCTCAGCCCTCTTCACGGCCTTTCTAATTGTGTTATTTCTACTTTGGAAGAGTGGATGATATTTTATATAGTAAGGCAGTCATCTCCACCTGAGCCGCAGACTCCAGACTGCTATTAAACAATATAACATTCACTGCTTGTCATTGTGCCGTCCAGTGACATTGGACATGTGCTGTCTGATGCTGTCACGAGCTAGTAAATTCCACAAAGGAGTGGTTTTTCTTTCTCTTCTTCACTTCCTTGCATAAATCAAGTATTTTCCCTTTGAGTTGCCACTTAAAAGGCTGCTTCCCTGATTACAAAACTTCTAGGCCGCAATTTCTACCCTTGAATCTTGAAACTCTTCCACGTCTTAGTTTTTTTTTTTTTTTTTTTTTTTTTTTTTTTAAAAAATTTTTTTTCCCCCTTTTTTTTTTTTTTTTTTTTTTTTTTTTTTTTTTTAAAAAAAACTAATGCTTAATTATCTTTCTGTGGTAAATAGCTTGGTCCTTTTGCCTGGAGATTGAAAGCAGTGTTTGATTTTAATGTTGAAGTTTGATGTGTGTAAGGTGAACTCTTGGGCTTAGTTACACACACACACACACACACACACACACACACACACACACACGATTCTTATCTGAAAATTTTCATTTTAGAAAATGAGCTGCTAATTTTATCTAGTTATTTTTTTAATGAAGAACTCTTGCCACTCACACAGACGCTGGACCCTGGCCCTGTCTTCTGTGACCATCCCTTATGATCTCTTAGAACTTGATTCTTTTCCTTCTTGCCAGCTGCAGCCCCAATTTGCTTTTCAATGTCGATCTGAGACCTGACTGTTCCTTCCAGTTCTGTTCTTCGTCCCTCTCACTGTGTGTCTGCCTGTGCTGCATTCTTACGTCAGCATGTTTGGGCTTTCTATGCTCGCAGTTGCATTTCCCTCCTTGGTCTCATGTGCGATGACCTGTTTAACTGCATGGAATTCATTCAGGAGTATTGTGTTCGTGTTTTGTTATTTTCTCATTTTTGAAAATGTGGTTGCTAGAATATTTTCATGAGCTGACTCTCTACAGGGGCTTTTATGGATATGAGGGTCTCTTTTTTGGCAATTGTTATTGTTGTTCATAATATTATGATTTAAAGGTGTTTTCCTGCACCAAGACCCTGGTGGTGTGAGTGGGATGTTGCTAGAAGGGCTTTCTGGGTTTCTTACTCAATAGTGTTTTGCTTTTAGAGTAGTGGAGCATACCTTTAATAATAATGTTTTGGGGGGACATTGGTTGTTTTTTCTGGTTCTTGGATATGAGATATGACATCATTTCTTGGGGCTCTTAAGGTTAACTGCTTTCTTTTTATTTTCATGCTAAACGTAGGACCTCTCTCCCACTTCATGCATCTCTCCTCCCATTTACATAGTGTTTTTCAAGACAGGGATTCTCTGTGTAGCCTTGACTGTCCTGGAACTCGCTCTGTAGACCAGAATGGCCTCAAACTCACAGAGATCAACTTGCCTCTGCCTTCCGAGTGCTGGGATTAAAGGCATGCGCCACCAGTGCCTGCCCATCTCTTCCACAATAGTAGCAATTGTTGAACCTAAGTACATTTCAAGTCCCCAGGATCTCGTACTGGAATTCCACAAGTGTTGTCAAGCTTTGGGCACATTCTTTTCCTTTCTAGGCTAGTGTAATATCAGCTAATGGTTACCTAACTCTGGGATAAGGTCTCCAGGAGCAGGCTTTCCTGTCTTCCAAAGATGGTGGTATTTGTGGCACCCATTTTCTGCTTGTGCTCTTGGTGGACATTGCAGGAGACCTCGTTTTCCTTATTGACAGCAAGGCCCTGGCTCGATGTGTATAGAGAGTCTCAGATGACTGCTTCATGGGAACTGCAAATTAGACTCTGATGACGTCAGCAGGTAGCTTAGTGTAGCTTCTCCCTAAGCCTCAGCTCCACCCTGGAGCCAAAACATCTGTAGTCACAGTGCAGGCTCCTGTTTGTGTGACACCTTAAAGAATTCCACAGGCAAACTAGAATCGTCACTTCATTTGGCAGCTGCATGAGCTGACTAGGTATGTCCCTTCTCTCTCTCTGTGGGTGCTGTCAGACAAGCAGCAACTCACGGAGGGACGTGGTAGTGAACTGTGAGGCCCAAAGCTCAAGTTCAGATCTTCTGCATGTGCCATCCCACAATGCATGTGCTGCCTGCCCTTCTCAGCAGCAGTCCCAAAAGCCTAAGGCCTGGTGAGGCCCTGTGCTGGGTGGGATGCTCATCACACAGCAGCCTCCTCCATGCTTACAGCGTTTACACATTAGCGCCATCCTCTCAGCCTCCATCCCCCCAACCCCAACCATTCCGCCTCTTCTTGACTTAAAAGCCTGAAATGCTTTATTTGGCTTTGTAAAAATAAAATAACACTAATTAGAGTCATTTATAGGATTTAATTATGTGTGTCATTCAACGTAATTGTGAGCTTTTAATGGGGCCGGCGTAACTCTGTGAGTCGAATATGATTGCCTGCCCTCACACCCCAGTCTCCTCCTTTATTGCTTGCATACTGTAAGTTAAAAGAAGAAAAAGCATAGATGGGAAGGAAAAATTCTGTGCTTGTAGTTGTTCTGTAATGAAACATGTATTTGGAGACACTGCTGAATTTATTTCTTAACGTTTAGATGGTTTAGTGTCTATGGAAAAGGGGCTGATTATATCACACTTGGGTATAATCTAGGGCATCATGAGTCTGTTACCATCATAGTTTTCGGGTGGCTTTAAGTTCTACGCTGTGTATTTCTGAGTGTTTTAGTTTTCACTTATTTGCATAAAAGGCAGAGGGTTTTATAATATGCTCTCAAATGACAGAATACCACTTAGAATCCTGTTACTATTTCATTAAGAAAATGTAAAATATTGTTGTCATTATGCTATTTATTGTTACAATGCACCAGTTCTGGCACAGAAATGCTGTTTAAAACCCCCATATGGAACAATATAAAACAGGCCGAGCTGTGTTTACCCAGAGCATTTTCATACAGATTTTTGAGCAACAGAGTGGCAGGTTGGCGCCCTCTGTTGTGCATTTTCTGTATCTACAGGCAGAAGTCTATGTAAGTTAAGTTTGTGTTTATGTGTTTTTCTCTTAAAATGAGCATGTAGGGCTTGGGAAGTTATTCATTTCAGTGGTAGAGTAATGGGCCCTAGGTTCGGTCCTCAGCTCTGAAAAAAAATTAGCATGTGCAGGTCTTACCAAGATAACATTCTGAACTGGGTTTGCTTGAAGGGGTCCACTGTACCTTTGTTCTTTGCTTGGTTTGACTAATTGCAGCATTCAGAGCTGGTGTGACCATTGCAGCTTTTCACACATATGTATCTTTAACCTAATAAAACAACCGTATTTAGCAATTTCTCGGTTAATTTGGATGAATTGGGAAAACATCCCACTTTTGCACCCAAAAGTGTCTAAACTGAAAGTAAGGGGAGTTTCAGAAATTCGAGGTTCGAGTTTTCTCAATTTTTAAAAGACTGACTTAATTCTGCAAAATTTTATGTCTAATTGGATTTATATCATAGTTTGAGAATATTTTTATATCATAACTTCTCAGGAATCTGTTCCTTCTTTGCATCATGTGGGTCCTGGAGATGAAACTCAGGTCCCCAGGTTTGACTGCAAATGACTTTATCCACTGAGCCATCACCCGTTCCCTTGCTTTGTTTGTGAGACCGGCTTTTCAGTAGCACAGGCTGGCCTTGAAGGCATGATCTTCCAGCTTGAATGGTGTCTCACTTCGTATCAGTGGATAAAGACTTTGGGAGTGAGGTTGTCTTGCATCTCAGGATTCCCTTGAAAGAGGTTTTCTGTTTTCCTCTCTGCTTTCTGTCCTCTCATATTAATCTACTGCGTGCTGGTTCTTTGGAACTCGTGAGAAATGAGATACTATGCTAACTGCACGTAAATTACAGTGTAAGATGAGTTGGGTTTTGTTGTTGTTGTTGTTGTTTTCAGCTTCAGGGATAGCAGCTTGCAGCATGATGTAGGCACACCTGACTCCGTTAGGCCAGTAAAGCTGATGAACTCGAAATGTAGGTTCTTGTGATTGCAGTTCCAGGGACAGGGACAATATTGTCCATTGTGTTGAGTGTCAGCAAGACCACGATCATAGTGTCACCAGTACACGCTATTAGGAAGTATAATAATTTATATAAACTCAGAAGATCGTGTCTCTATATCTCTCTGAAAGCTAGCTAGTTGTTGACCAAACATCTTTTGAGCCAAATGCCCCATTTTAGTAATTAATATTGATAGGTGTGTATTTATTTTGAAGTTTGGCGATTTGTGAAAGACTTGAAATAGGTGCTTATTTAAAAAAGACCTTGGTTGGTGCTGATGTATTTTTCTCTTGACAGTGATGGGAGCTGTGAAAGTAGAGAGCAGAGAGCCTGCAGAGGGAAGATTGCTCTGTCAGGTATGCTGTGGACGTGTCCCTGTGTTGCTGAATATGTTTCTAAAGTGGCTAGCATTGCTGGCCTTGTATATTCTGAATTTCCAGTGTCTCCATTTTCATTGCTCATACCTCTCTCAGAAGATTTATTCCAAACTATTTTATCATTATGCTCTACAATTGGGTGTAACTTTGCGGTTTGGGGAAGCTACATCCTCTGTTAACATACACCATGTAGATTTGTCCTCCCTTTAGACTGTGGAACGTGCAGAGGGTGTGTTAAATTACCTGCTTGCTGTGTGTGCAAACCCACAGGCTTCCTCTCCCTGCCTTGTCTGTTTGGTGATTCTCTAAGACGAAAGTTTCATGGGGGTTGGCCCCGTGTTTATTTTGTTTATCACATCACACCAAAGCCACTGACACTGGGCTTGGCTCCTGGTGATTGCTCAGTGAATGCTGGATAGATGACCGACCACTTTCAGCTTGTAAAATCCAAACTGCCCCAGTCCCGCCAAGTTTTCCATTCTGGCCCAATTCTTTCTCTGGCTCTGTCTCCCATTACCCACCCCACGTGCTTTAGGCAGATATTTTTTTTCCTTCCCTTGTCAACAAAAGCCCTGGTTGAGACACCTAATTGGGTTGTGAAATTGTGGTATTTTCTCCAGGATCTCTTTGCTCATCTCTAAACCCTCCCATTATGGCTCACTCAGGCTCCAGTGATGCTTCCTGTCAGCAGAGTTAGAAGGCGCCTTGCCACTAGATGGCGCTTAGGCTGTGTAGTCTCAGTTTCTCCAAAATGGCAGGGTCACCCAAGACAATGGCATAGAGATGAAGCATGATTAGCATGGCAGGCTTGCGTCAGCACATCCTAGAAACACCAGTGTGCCCTGCACTGGCTTCCAGCAATAGCTGGCTCATCCCATTGGCCTAGCTGCTATGTCACCAGGTTTGCCGCACAAGGGACCATTCTCTACCTCCATCACGCACAGTCAGGGCTGGTCAGAAGTTACTATGCAAGGAGGACAGACATACATTTTATTTTAGGACCTTATTGGAGTCATTGCCCTCTGCCGAGCAAAGAGTGCTTCAGAGAATTAGATGAGCTGCACAAAAACCTGTTGCCTGTTTTGTGGTTATTTGTGTTCATGCTTGCTCTTCTGCTTGCAGCCGACACAAGGCCTGGCTGCATTGTCTGTGTCCTTTTGCTGCCAACATAGGCCATTTGCAGAGCCCTCTTTACTCTGTTTAAATACATTTTAACACGAGTAGATTTACTATTGCAGAACTTCAGAGGAGATCTTCCACCATCACTTCAATATTGCCCTCCTTCCCTTGCTTCTAGTAAGCCACGGCTCCATAGGCAGATGAGGTAGGTGGTCTTGTTAGACCCCTGGAAAACTCAGGCCTCCGGGGTCTCAGCCCAGGACCTTGGTCACCCCAATCACCAGGCGGATTCCAAAGCTTGATGCAAATTGCATGAGGCTTTATTGTTGTTTAACGAGCTACCCCCATTTTAGCTCGGTTCTTTCCCCCCCCCGCCATGGCTGATGGCTAGCAAAGACAGTTCGAACCGACTGCATAGAGATCTTGTCGGGCAGCATAAGGGGAGTGCCTAGGGGTATGCACAGGCTCAGGATCTGTGTGCCTCCAGGCTTGGAGGGCTTGCCCTGTGTTGATTGGCCAACTGGTTGTTATGGCCCATAGGCCCTCCCAGGGCGGTTGCTGTGCTCTGCGTGCTGTTGCATTGCTGTGTGCTTATCCGTAAAGCACACCCAGAGCCGTAAAGCATAGCACCACCAGCTAACTTCTAATTGGTTCCTTGCCACGAGGCAGGGATCTGACTTTCTAGTGACTAGGACAAGATCAGACAAGCACATGTTCAGCTGTTATGGCTGCGACAGGGGCAGGCATCTGACCTTAGTGACTAAGACAAGGTCAGACAAGCTGTTATGGCTGCTGAAATGGGGAGCTGGTCCCTTCAGGCTGTTCTGTGAGTCCTGTGATCATTGCCATCTGTTTTCGTACTGAGAGTGCTTGTTTGCTTCCACTGCATTTAGAAAGGGTCTACAACAAAAATACGGTAAGACGGGTCTTTTCATCATCGCAGATATCTTTGTACAAAAGCCGAGGCCGTCTTCCCCCAAAGCATGTTTTTTTTCTTCCCAAGAAACCCGGAAGTGGGATGCATGTGTCATTAACATGAGTTTTGCCTCGCTGGACACTTACAGCCAAGTGTCATAATGTTTCTGAGATTGCACTGTAAACAGGGCAGACCTGGATTTTGAGTTTCTTGTACCTGCTTCCACTGGCCAGAGCTTCATAACTATAAAAATAACAAGTCCGTCCCCATACCTTCTACGGCAGGTAATGGCACTATGGCAGTTGGTGTGTGTTTTTACCAACTCCCGATTCAGCGACTAAGCCAAATCAGTCAGCCATGCACCTCAGTGGTTTTCTCACTTTTTTTTTTATTTTCATATGTGTGTGTGCATGCTTGCATGTTTGTGGACATGTGTAAGTACATGCACGCATATATGTGGGGTCCTGAGGTGGCGTCATTCCCAACCATTCTTCTACCTTATTAATTTTGAGGCAGCGTCTGTCTGTCAAACCCACAGGTCCCTGGCAATGACTAGTCTCTAGAGCCAGCGTTCTTTGGGGACCCCCCTGAGGCTGGAATTACAGGTGGCTGCCACAGCCATCCTGCATGTAAGTGGGTTCTGGGACTCCAAACTATAGTTGTGGCGCAAGTGCTTAGCCACTGAGCCAATGCCCCAAGTCCCTAGTTGTCTCTTCACCAGATTATAGTCTGGGACCTGATACATCAGGTTAGCTAGCCCGTTTGGGCTGTCTTAGTTTGGCATGAACTGTCAATAAAGAGAAAAAACAAAGGTGAACTACTGTAAGCTAAAACCCAGGTGGTCGTTTGCCAGAATCTGGAAGGTGTTTCTGTCATTGGAAGCTGGATCCTTTGTTGCCTGAAGAATACATGGCCAACTGGGAGACAGATTGGAAATCCTCTCTCTCCCTTGGTTTATATGGGAAATCCTCTCTCTCCCTTGGTTTATATGGAGTTGGGACGAGGAGAGCAGGATTGACCCCCTGGCTGTGGGGAAGCAGCTTAGGAAACCAGGGTTAGGGTCCTTCCATGAGAGTGTGAATAGTTAAAGCTTCCCCACCACAACCAGGACAGCTGCAGTGAGAAACCATTGACCATGGAATGGTCATGGAATGAAAGGAGGCAGCCATTGTGGTCAGCCGAGCTGTAACTCTAAGACAAAGGCATTCCCATTAAAACCAAGAACAAAAATAACAATGTCTATTATGTCAACATCATCTAACACTGCTTTGGAATTGTAGCTAAAGCAATGACTGAAAAATGAAGCTATTGAAAATGAATAGGCAGATTGGATACTTTTTGAAGCTAATGGATGGTGGATGGATTTGACCCTAAGGGAAGTTACTGAGACACTGGAATTAAAACATTCAGTAAAATGTGGCTGGATTTAGGATAAATAAATAAAAAGTGGTAGTTTTTCTTAAAACCAGCAATAACTTGCTACAGAATATAATGAAAGAAAAAAATGCAATTTACAATAAGTCGACAACTCCCCTCAAGCATTAAATATTCAAGAATAACCTTAATTAAAATGTAAGGGTAGGAGCTGCAGGCATAGCTCAGTAGGAGGCTCTTCCGAACCCCTGGGCCTGAGCTCCAGCCCTCAAACAAAAAGGCCAAAGTTAGAGAAAATGTTCAAAGTAAATATATTAGTTCCCTGGGCCCATGAGAGGGCTCCATAGGTAAAGGTGCTTGCCTCCAACCCTGATGACTTGAGTTCAGTTCCTGGGACCCACATGGTAGAAGGAGAGAACCAACTTTCACAAGTTGCCTCTGACCTACACACACACACACACACACACACACACACACACACACTAAACACACACACACACACACACAGGGGGATAGAGAGGAAGAGAGGGAGGGAGGGAGAGTAAATGTTAAAAAAATAAAAGTTTTGAGTTCCTAAATAAATTGAGAGGGAATTTTGACCAAATTGTAAAATTCATATAAAGAACCGTGACAGTCAGATGCCTCCAAAAGACAGCAATTCTAGCACAGTGTTGGCATTGGGAAGTATAGTTGTTGATATCTGATTTGGTTCCATCTATGAAGTGTTTGGGCCAGGAACAGACACGGGCTCAGAGTGGCACATCTGGGAAGGCATCCTAAAGCGGGGGGGGGGGGGGGCAATAGATGTGGAGCTAAAATGATTATTTAAAAGAATGTGTTCACTTCCAATACCTCCAAATTTCACACATATTTAATAACCTCTGAAATTATCACCTGTACCGCTAGAGAGATGGCTCAGTGGCTAAGAGTGTGCATTGCTCTTGCAGAGTTGGGTTCCCAGCACCCACGTAGTGGCTCACAACCATGTGCAACCTGAGATCCAGGGCCCTCTTTTGCCCTTCGTGGGCATCAGACATGCAAGTTAGGCAGAGATATACATGCAGGCAAAATACACATACACATAAAAATAAAGTATTTTAAAAATCAACTGTAAACAATAATTAGAAAATGTCCTGTGTGTATTTCATCTTGGCTTTGATGGGCGCAATCTATTCTGGAATTCAGATGTTCGCATCATGGGTAAAATAAAATTGTGAAAATAATTGTCATTTTTTTTGCCCTCTTTATAGATATCCGAATACCACTAATGTGGAAAGACTCTGATCACTTCAGTAATAAAGAATGTACGTATGGTTTTATTTTGTAATCAGGAGTGTTTTCTTTAGTGCTCAGGACACAAATTTGTGGTTTCTGAGGACAGAGTTGGTCGGTACTGAGATATATCGCTGCCATTTGGCAATAAGTACAGAGCTGTTGCTTTCTGATATGGGGTCTGTGTGTTATCAGTTCCCTGATTCAGAGTAAGATGGTGCAAACCAAGTACACTTTCCTATCATTGGTGGGAAACTGAGTGATGGGCTCAAGGAAGAGAGATGAGGAGGAAGGTAGACAGCCCTCCCCCAACCCCAACCCCCCGCCCAGGCACACACATATTAAAAAATGCCTGGGGTGAGTAAGCAAAGGTGGTACTATTGGTTTTTTTTTTTTTTCCTCTCTGATACCACCTGGGAGGTCTCAGCTTTGCTATGTTAGATTATTTAACAGGATGTAATGAAAGGTTTGATCTGATCTTTTCTTTTTCCTTCACTGTTTTATTGGCTGTATGCAGTCTTCACAAATCTGTGTATTGCTTGGACCACGGACATTAACCTCAAATGCTTCCTAGCTGTGCGAGGCAAAGTTGAGCTATCCAATAGTCCTTTATCTGCCTGGTCTATTGTGATGGCTTTGTTCTCCATATTCTAAAAGCTGAATGGTATTGGGCATAATTAGTTTTATATGGAGAACTTAGATTGGGTTAATGTGTGTTTTTCAGTTAGGACCTATAATTTACTTTGCCAAGGAAGGCATGTGGGTATCGAGTCAATCTTCTGATTACTATAGAGGATAAACTTTTCCTAAAGAACGACATTTTCTCAATAATGAGGATTTGACCCTTTAATCACCTAGTGTTTTTAAGAACATCACCAAATCGAAAGGCCTAGCTGCTATGTTTTTGTAGCCCCTGTCTGTTTTATTCCTGCTTTTTGTATTCCCTTGTCTTTTTATCATTGCTTTGCCTGCCTTTTGGCTGTTGAGGATTTTCAGGTGGTTTCTTTCCTTGCTTTTAGTTTGGTGGAAGACATTTGGCTGCTGTTGATGCGATTGCCTTTAGACATCACTTTTTCTTAAGATTTGGACATCAAGTGACAGAGGGGATCCTTATGTGGTGTGTTTAATTTTCTCATAGGGTGGAGAGTTTGTTAGTGACTAGATTTGATTCTCAGGCTGTCTTTGGAACTTGAGGGGCTCGTGTTTATTTTTGATGCTCCTTGGTTTGAGGTTGGGTTTGAGTTGGTGAGGGACCGTTGCAAACACAGGAGTTAGTGGCTAGAGCTATGGCCGGTCAGTTGGAGGCGTGCGAGGCAAGTGTCTCACACGGGTGTGATGTGTCCTGCTTGTGATGGCTTCTACCGTCATCTCTCCTCTAGGCACACAACGCTACGCCATCTTTTGTTTGTTCAGGATGGGAGCCGAGGTATTTGATACCGACATGGTGATTGTGGACCAGACCATCACAGATATATGTTTTGACAACATCACCCTATTGTAAGTATCTTTAATTTTTAAAGAATGAAATCTGAAGTTCTGCTTCCTTTTCTTACCTGTGAAGAAGGACTGATTGCTGTCTTTGGTTTCTGGTGGCCTATGTCCTGATGGTCCTTGGATCCTTTTCAGAGTATTAACAGCTTTAAATGTTTAAAAGATAGATGAGGGGGGGCAGGATTCAGAATAAAATAGAAATCTTATAATTAATAAGAGGAGCAAATAGTTGGCTCATTGGCTCTGACAAGCTTTTTATAAATATTTCTATTCCTCTCATTAACTAAGCTATATTAGAATTTCGCTTTGTGTTTGATGTACAGTGAATTTGTGCATAAATTTACTGAGAAATGTAATAAAGTAGTCAAGCATGTTTACTTATGAGCCATTCTCTAAGTGCTTACCATGGTGTTGGGGCGTTCTTTCTCCTATAGTGGACTTCTCATGTACTCAAACAGTGAAGAACAGCCTGGCCATCTTAAGGGCTGTTTTATTGCCCTGCTCTATGCAGGCTCTTTTTATTATGGCCATCACACAGAGAGACAGAAACAGCTCCTCCTCGGGTAGCCGTGGAGATCATTTTTAACCACCATGAGTTTTTCCTGGCCTCTCTTTCAAAGACTTTGTTGGCCTCCTGCCTCCTGGGATTTGTTGTTTGGGAGCTTTCAAGATGTCATTTCCATATTGAGGGGTAATAGCTGCCGGACTGCTCTCATGGAATCAGTAGTCCATCCATTGCCGTGTCCATTGACACTTGAGATTTCAGAGGACTGCTTTTGCCAGTCACGTAAAACTGACAGGACCATGGCAGACACTTCTGAGCTAGTGTCCTGGAGTAACTGTATAGGACAAAACAACATGTCACCCTGAGCTATTAGCAGCAACACAGGCCATTTTACAAGTTGTCTTTAAGCCAGAGGAATTTAGTTAATGTCCTGTCCCAAGTTCTTGTATAATTTAGGCTAAAGGGTATTTCCTTCATTATCTCTGTATCTTGATTTCTATTTTCAGATGTTGCTAATGACATTTTGTTTCCTGCCAAAATTAGCCCACTCGTTCACTAATTGGCTCTTTTCTTCACATCACTCCCCTATTGGCTTTGTTTTTTTTTTTTCCACAAAGACAAAAGTTAGATGGACTCCCCTCCCCCCTTGCAGGAAGAACAATACAAATGACTTGGAAGACAACATGTGATTTATTGGTATTTTTTGGTATAAATATTTTAAATTGGCCTAAAAATAGCTGCTGACAAATGTTCTAAATGTTAAAAAATGTGCTTTGTGTTATGATGCTTGTTTTTAATAAGTCTTCAATATTTATGAATCTCTGGTTTTCTTCTAAATATTGACATTTGTTACTCATTACCAGGAATACTGTATGTTTAGAAGTTGCCAAGTAAGGAACTATAAAAATATCTGAAGTTGGTCCTTAGATTTATCCAAACCTGTAGACTGGCCATTTGAATTTTAAAGTCCCCATGGCTACCTTCTGTCTTCAGGTCACATCTGCAGACGGGTGCCCTCCTAGGTGTGTTTTGCTCTTAGTAACAACACAGTGTGTTTCTATGGTAATGGTAGCTCACTGTACCTAGAAAAAGTAAAGCCAGTCATTGTGCATCCTAAACCGTAGAGTTTCTATTTATTCCTTCATTCGCTTATTTACTTATTGGTTTTTTTTCTTTGTGTGCATGTTTGTGTGGGAGTGTGAGAGGACAGCTGTGACATGGAGCAGGTGTGGAGGTCAGAGGACAACCTCCAGTGTAGACCTTAGTCTTTTACCTAGTATGAGCCAGCATCTGGTTTTTACTGGTCACTGTTGTATGTACCAAACAAGCTGGCCCATGGGCTTCTGTGTCTGCCTCCAATCTTGCCAGAGGAGGGCTAGAATTACAGACATGGGCCACCACATCTGATTTATGGGTTTGGGGACCCAAACTAAGGTCCCTGTGCTTGTTAAGCAGGCACCTACCCACTGAACCATCTCCCTAGGCAAACTGGAGAATTTCTGAATAGGTTTTAATAGATGCCTATCAGGTACCTTCTACTTTCAGGCATGGTGCTTCGTGAAGACACAGCCTTCATCAAGGCAGTGCATGCCCTCTGGGAGCCTGTGCTTTCAAGTACATCCTTTTATCTTGGTTTTGTGGTCCTTCCCATATCTATAACCAAGTAGTACAATGCTGATAGCTGTTAGCTACAGTGAGGCAATGGATTGACTGCCTAGGTATGAAGGCAAATAGGAATTTGAGGTTCCATGGATTCTGTTCAGGATGGATAGTTGTTTCAGGAAATTCCAGATATAATATAAATAAAGTTTTGGTAGTAAAGGACTATGAAGGAAAAACAGAATGTCTTATTCTTTATGTTTTTTAAGTACTATGCCTGTGTGTGTTGGTTCATTGAAGTAAAGTACTCACTTGTTTTCGTGTGTTGTGTATATGTGTGCACACATGTTCTTCTGTGTGCTGTGAATGTCTATGGGGATGTTCTCTCTCTCTCTCTCTCTCTCTCTCTCTATATATATATATATATATATATATATACACACACACACACACACACAACCTTGGAACCTGTCTACTGTGTAACATTCTTGCTGGCCTAGGGCGCACTGATTAGGTTAGGCTGCCAGATCAGGTACTCATGCTTGCTTTAGCAAGTGTTTCAGCAAAGAAGTCATTCCCCAAGTCCCCAAGACTATGGTTTAGAAACTAACAGCTCTAAAAGTTACAGCCACGCTCAAAAGCCAGTCTGAAACTAAACAAATGCAGCAATTGTGTCTCCTTATGTATGTTTTAAATACTGAGTTTTGAATATTGTAGAAACAGCCAAGGTGCTGTAGTTTTATTTCCCACTGAATTTGACTCCCTGCATCACAACTGCTCTTGTTCTTAGCAGCGAAGCAGGCCCAGACTTCCGGATAAAGATAGAAGTGTACAGCTGTAGTGCAGAGGACTCTTCCATAATCAACACCCCTAAAAAACTGGCTAAGAAGTTGAAGACGTCCATCAGTAAAGCTGCAGGAAGGAAAATAAGTTCAGCGCTTCAGGAAGAGACCCCAGAGACATACTTGCTCGTCAGCTCTGTTTCGTAAGCCTTCTAATATAGTGCGTGTGGTATTTCAGAGTTTTGTCTTTAGATGTATGCTTGCATTTTAAATGGGACAACATCTGGAAACAGAAGGAAACCTGGGCCGTGTGGTATTTACCCCTCTGAGATATCCTTAGCCCCATCCTTTGAAGGATGGAAGTCAAGTGACCTGCTTTGTAGTTGTTTGGAATTCCACATCTACCAGAAAGATATATTTTTTTTTCTCAAAACGGGGTCCGTATATGTCAAGTATCTACTTCCTGATGTTCTGCTAATTGGATTTCTATATGTGTGCCATGCTTTTTTTTTTAATGTTTTATCCCTTTAGCAAACCAATACAATATTATTATCACAGTTAGCAATTTAAAAATAAGTTCTTATGTAACCTGATAGTCTGTATTCAAATTGTACAATCCTGGAAAAGTCCCTTTGAGGTGCGTTTGTTCAAATGGGGATCAAATGACGCCGGTAAGGACACATTTGTGTGAGTCTAAATTTTAGGCTTATTTTAGTCTGTTACAATTCCATCCAGTGGTTTTTCTTGGCCTTATTTATTGAGGAGACCAGGTCTTGTAGGGCGCCTGTATTTGTAATCTAGCTGATTGTGTCTCTGTGTTCTTGTTAAAACATTTCCCTGGCTCCTGTATTTCCTGTCCCCTTGTAATGGATCTGAGGGACTGGTTGGATCAGGCTCTCCTTAGGGCTCTGAAGCTTTATCTCTTTAGATGTATTTCCACTGTGTTTTCCCTTTAGAAGGCTCTGCCCCACTTCTAAGCTCACGAGTTTCCAGCCTGATGTATCTATTATAAAGTTGGCTACCTGTCCTCTAGCTGATGCTTTTAGCAGCTGTTACCCATGATTCCTGTGGCGATCATAATGCAAGGGCTCCCTAGACTTGCTCTGCGTTTCTTCTTCTTCTTCTTCTTCTTCTTCTTCTTCTTCTTCTTCTTCTTCTTCTTCTTCTTCTTCTTCTTCTTCTTCTTCTTCTTCTTCTCTTTTGGTTTTTCGAGACAGGGTTTCTCTGTGTAGCTTTGGAGCCTATCCTGGCACTCGCTCTGGAGAGCGGGCTGGCCTCGAACTCACAGAGATCCGCCTGCCTCTGCCTTCCGGTTCTGGGATTAAAGGCATGCGCCACCAACACCGGGCTGCATTTCTTCTTTTTAATTACTTCTTTGAGAGTTTCATACAGTGGGTTTTGATCATATTGGTCCTCTGTCCTCCATCTCTCCCCAGGCCCATCCCCCACCTCTTACCCATCCAATTTCAAGGCACCCCCCTCTACACCAATTGTTCAGGACCAATCTGTGCTGCCCCAGTATTCTTGGATGTGTGGATGGTGGTTGACTTATCAGGGAATACAGTCTTAGAGAATGCTGTCTTTCTCTTTCCCAGCAGCTATCATTCACCAAAAGCTCCCTGGCTAGTGGTGGGCTGTGTGTCCCACTTTCCTCTCCATGCTGGAATTTGGTGTGGCTTAGGCTTGCATAGGTCTTGTGAATGTTATCACAACCACTGTGAGTCCATATGGGCAGCTGCCCTGCTAAGTCCCGGCTGTTTCCTTGTAGACGTCTTAACACCTCTGGCTCTTAGACACTTTTCACCCTCTCTTCTGCAGTGATCCCCTAGCTTCGGGAGGGGCAGTACAGTATAGATGTTTCATTCATTTACTCTGCTGATTCTTTCTAAGCCGGCACTCTTGAAGAGAAGACAAATTATCTGACTGCAACTGCAAGAAAGACAGTGGAGAGGGAAGAGAAAAACAAAATGACTTTTACAGACTTTTACACTTGGTCAAGTTTTAGACTTAAATGTGGGTTGGTCACAAGCATGGACGTGAACAATGTTTACAGCATTTCTGCCCAGAGCCATGACTTCCTTCTGCACTTTCTGTAAAACATGGTGTTTTTCTCCACAGGCTTGTGTCTGTATTTCATTGGGAATGCGTTGACTCTGCCACATTCCTGGAATTTCTTCCTATGTCTAATAGAGTTGGCTCTTCAGCATGTCAAGAAGGTTCTCTAATTACAGACATGAGATATTCTGTGTTGATCCTGGAAACCTTAGTCGAGATGTAGCTAAGTCCTCTTCCTATGCCAGGTGTCCTAGTGGCTTTCCACTTTGTTGTTTTGAGGGTTTTTTTGTTTGTTTTGTTTTTTCAAGACAGGTTTCTCTGTGTCCCTGGCTGGCCTGGAACTCACAGAGACACCTGCCTGTGCCTCTCTCATACTGGGATTAAAGGCGTGCGCCACCACAACCATCACCACCACCACCACCAAGCTTATTTTGATGGTTTTGATAGAGGCTGGAACCAAGAACTGTGCTGTATACCATGACTGACTGCACACGTGCCTAAAGGCTAGCATTGTAAACCCTAGGTACCTGCAGTATTGTATTAGGTATATTAGGTATATTTTTCATTATAGTTCATTTACCAAATGCCATCTCTGAGTTATTAAATTGCTTTTGTGATCCATGAATAAATGAATCTCAATTCATGTTCTGAAAAACAGTTCCCCCAAAATTCTCTCCAACACAGATATTAAAACAGAGGCAGGGGGCCTTTGTTTTTCTTCCCTGAGGTATTTATTTACACCGGGATCATATCCGGTGTTTGCTGGACTGGGTTTTAACTCTGTCACAAAGTATCTGTATCTGTTACCTTTCTGTTGCTGCGGTGGTACACCATGACTGAGGCGATTTTATAGAAGGGAGAGTTTATTTGGGCTTGCGGTTCAGTGGAGTTAGAGTTCATGATGGCAGGTCAAAGGCATGCAGGCAGGATCAGGAAGCCGAAAGCTCACATCTCAGAGTGCAAGCACAAAGCAGAGACCTCTAAGCCCACCTCCAGGTGATAGGACATGCTTCAACACAGCCACACCTCCTAAGCCTCCTCAAACAGCACCACTGACTGGGCACAAATCAAATGCTGGAGACATCTCACTCAGACCTCCACAGCAGTAGAAGCATCTCTTCTTTATAGAGATTGCATGATTCCGCTTTCAGATTAGGATACCTTAGAATGGAAAGAGACCCTGGAGGTGATTACCTAGCATGGCGGTTGTTATGTCTTAAGAGCAGCATTGTCTAAGAGCTGGCAGCATCACTAGGGTCTCTTGCATGCTACATTTCCCTGGGCCTTTTGTCTCCTGTACTGGAAGGCAGAGGTGCTTAGACCCAGCCCCTTGTTGTCAGGAACATTTGGGGGGGTTTTCAGACACCCTGAAACCCAGTGACAATAACGAACAGATAGACTTCTAAACACTTGAAAACTTGGTCGCTTGACAATGGGTACTTAATTTTTTATCCTGTCATTTACTATTTGTGTGACCCAAGGTAGATTAATATACCCTTTGCCCTCCCCCCCAAGAGAATAACGATAATAATGCAATAATATGTAACTCCATAGGATCATCATTATGAAACTCAGTAAGTTAGTCCTTGGACTTTGTATATGGTAGGTATTTAGTAACTATACCTTTATGCTATTGTTAACTGTTTTTGTCCAAGGTTTTTTTTTTCTTCTGAGTTCTTACAGAAGCACTACAATTAGAACCTTGACATGAGACCATATGATACATATGCGATTTCCTGCTTAGCCCACTTTGTAATGTCATAGAAGATAATGTAGCTGAGGCTGGACCAATTGTTAGGCCTGCGTTTCTTCGTGAAGCCTGTTGGTTTTCTTGGCAGTCTCATGTTGTTTGGTAGTTAACAGAGGGACAGGCAGCATCTTCCTCTTGATTCTTACTCACGTTTGGCCTCCATGATTTGCCCTGGAATTTAAATGCTAAGTGTTTTTTGTTTTTTTTTTTTAAGACATGGTGCATAAAACTTTGATTATTTTATACCACTAAAATCTGTCAAAAGATGTGATAACACTATTGATTGAATTTTACCCAGTCATGTTCTCTGAGTACCAGCATTTTCTTGGCCTCCAGGTTTGAATAAAGAGTGTTCTGGCTCACACACAGCCCACATCTCCTCTAAACATTTAGTTTGCTACTTGGTAGGAGATTGTGAGTAGCATTGGTATTCAGAGAACATTAGAAGATATATGTTTGCCTTTTTTTAAAAAATACAGATCAAGTTCATTGTTGAGACTCTTTTTCATGTTTAGCCAAAATGAGTGCATATAAAATAATATGTATCTAGGAGATGGTATGTGACCAAATATAGCTATTTTTTTTCTAGACAAGAATGCATTTTTTTTCTGACTACCGTCCAAGTCATCTTATTTTTCATACTGCTTGACCCCTCCCCCCTCCCAATATAAACTGGCCTACTTGATAGAAAAAATGTAGCTGATTAAATTTTTGGGAATGCAGTATTAGGGTTGGCGCAAAGGAATGAGTGTAATGTTTTAGAAACAAAATGTTATCCTGACTAGAATTCTTTAAAAATGAAGTCATTGTTGGTTTGGAAGATGCCCATGTAATTAGTCATGGGCTAAAAATGAAGCAACTTCAAATACCATCATAAAATGGTATTGTTGGGCTTAAAGAAGACAGTGAACATTTTTGGTAATTTTTAGTATGTTCCCTGGTGTGACTCATTTTCTCTTTTTATCTGTGGGATTTAGGCTTTCTGAAATCTCTTTTGCTAGATCTTGCTAATTCCTCTTAACAGCTGAATTTAACTGTTTTATGCTTCTTGGTGACTAGGACAGTATTCTTTGTCATTTAAACATACTTCAAAAAAAATCCTGTCAAACATGTAGTGTTATTTGTGATATTTTAATTGACTAAAAGACAAACTAAATTAAAAAATAAACAAACAAGCAAGCTACTCCAGTAAAAAGGTGGCTTTGTAGTTAAGAGCACTGGTGCCCTTTAGCTCTGACATTTGTCTGTGACACCAGTTCAAGGGCACCTGACGCCCTCTTCTGGCCTCTGAGGATGCTGCACACACACACACACACACACTTAAAAAAAAATACCCTAAGAAGCCACCACGCTGCATACTAAATTACAATGCATAAAATAGCACTTCTAACGCATCTC